GAATTTTCTGCCTCTCTGCTGAGTTTGCTTCGGAAGACGGGCACTGGAAGAAGAAATGTCGAATTGCCTCTGTCAGTGTCTCCTCATCAGCAAATGAATGCCCTTTGCAGAGGAAGGAACACCACACCATCTCGGGCCAGCAACTCTGAACCATGGATGACTGTTCAAGGCTGAGGCTGCGGCTGGACCGAGCATCGGACGTGCATGCAGTCTCAGGTGGACGGCAAGAAGTTGGCAGATTGTGATCCCGGCCGCCGAGAAGGGATACCAAGCCTGAGCATGTGGTAGGCCTGGTCCTCAACACGAAATTTCACTCTATTCAAAGTCGAGGGCCAGCTTGCACCCGGAATCCCGATTCAATTCCAGATGAGTCTTCTCTATGCTGCAGTTTGCCATGCCGCAGCGTTTTATTGGGGCACTGCCGTGTGCCAGCGAAGCCTGAAACTCGATCCTGTAGACTTGCCCTCACTCCGAGGCTGCTGGCGCGCGAAGGAAACTTCGCCTCCTCCATGAGGATCCGTGCCTCGTTTCGGTGCGAGACATGCTTGCTACTGTTTGACTCAAGATCAGGCTGTTCACTTCAACATTTCATGTTTGCTTTTTTTCTCAGAAATCTTTTGCGCGGCCTGCGAAGTGTGCTTGTCTGCAAGGAAAAGGAGGCACCGCAGGGAAAGAAGGCCTCAGCGACCATGGGGTCCGACGTGGCTTCTTCTCGGCTCGGCGAGGGTCACGAGTCGAGACTAGCGGATCTGCAGCGTTGCTGTGAAGCACGTGGCCTCCTCCGCGGAAGTCGGTCCAGGGATTTGCGCTCCTTAGCCACCATTGGGTGACAGGCGAAGCAAAAGCACGAAGGCACGACAACGCAGCACCACAGCATGTCGAAACGCATCGGACGATCTCGCATGCTGCATTTTGCAGCCCGGGTGCTGGAAGCCGAGATCGTCGCTCCATCTCTTCGAGCGGACCTCGTAGGGAACCTGTGAGCCATGGGGCAAAGGTGACAAAAAAGTGGAGTCCAGACTCAGCTTCAGACCTTATACAAGTACGCAGTTAGTCCCTTCATGAGAATCTGCAAGTTGGAGCAGCGCTGCCGGCCTGATCTCCGAGCATGAGCTCCCAGTACCTTGCGATACGGAGACCGTTGACGGAGACATACGTGCGTGGTTTCGTCCCCGAACCGCCGCACTTTTTTTGACCACACCAGCTTCGCTTGCTAACCCCGTGTCCCGAACTTCAACCTTCTTGGCAGGTGACTCTTCCATCGCTTGCCGATGGCTCTCGTTTGCTTCCTTAGGGGGACACCCAAGAAAATATCGGTGAGGAGCGACTTGCAGCGTCAGCGCTCTGACCGCACTGGCATCCAAGCATCATCCAACATGATTGAAGCCAACTTGGAGAGCTGGCTGTGAGCAACCTCCTGCCATCCGAACTCGGCTCTTCTGGTTGCAGTCCAGATCCACAAGACAAAACATGTCCGCAACAACTATTGAATTCATTGAGCCCCTCATAAGTTGAGAAGCTTCAGCAACATCAAGTCCAAAGCTATGAGTGTACGCACAACCCAAGCCCCAGGGAAACATGTCCTCTTCGGGAGTTGTCGCCTGCAGAGAGTAGCTTTCGGCGTTCAAGCTAGCGACGACAGCCGCGTGCTGTCAGCTTTATTACAGTACCTGCATTTATGCTTCCTGGCTTTCTTTACTTGCGCAAGTTCTCAGGAGTGAAAATATCTTCGGCAATTCAGCAGTCTCAGGTTTAGGATGGCTTCGGGCAACGTCAGCAAAGCATCAGGTTGTCAAGGGCTGCTGATCAGAGATCAGTCGTTCCAGTCAAAATTTCGGATACCCCAACATCTTTTCGCCACGTGTTCAAAGCCCTTTAGACTAAATTTCATTCGCAGAGCAGCAAATGTGCAGTCATAAGCAACTTTCGTCGGGTTGCAATGAATCTCGACCATGAGCAGCACCGGCGGTAGCTGCCTCGTCCACCTCCTGGTGGCGTCACGTCAGATTGACCCAAACCCGTGCAAAGGCAGTACGCTTCGAATATGTGGCAGTGGGCATGGAAGTCACGCGAGGCTTTGGGAGAAGCTGGTGGTGAAGAACATTGCATTGAGCTTTTACAGACTTGTCGTGATTCTGCTGCTCTGACTGGGCAGCTGATCTGTGGTCGCCTTGTAGACCACGACCGAGTTTTTGTTGCTTGCACTTCCTGTGAAGCATGGATGTCCCTGTCCGAACAAACTGTCCTTCCATCATCGTGGCTACATGCAGTTTTCAGGCACTCTCCGCAGTTCCAGCAGGCTGCTTCGCTACAGGTAGCCTCAAAGAACGACAACACAACCTAGAAAAGGACGTGCAACTTGCATTGGTCTGTCTTGCAAGCATTAATTACTCAAGGACACATCCGACGGCAGTGCTTTACATGAGCGCTTTTCGGTCAACAAGAACAAGTAACAAGTCGTGCCGGAGGACAACGCAACATTCTTGACTGGTACATGATACTGTAGCATGCACTGGGTTTCGCGAGTGTTATCTCTCAAGCAACTCAGAATCTGCATGTGCTGACTGGGTGCACTCAACAGTCCTGTTCATATTTTTTTCTGAAGGCTCGCCTGTATATCTGTCTGTCCTAGCTTCCTGGCTGTTACGCCTTCACAGGTCGTGTCCAAATGGAGTGGGCGGAAATTGGCAGAAAGACCGATGCATTGTGGTGTCGTTGTAGTCCCCGCCTATCGGGGAGTTCGGAAGCGAAGCTGTGCTTCTGGAAATGGCCGGCCTGAGCTTTGCAAAAACTCGCAAAACGGTATAAAGTCGTGACCATAACAGCAACGGTGCAAAGCCACAGGAGAAAGAACATGCTGTACAAAAGAGCAGAGCCAGTTCAAGTCCCTGACGGCGGTCTACGTACTCCTTGTGGAAACATCACTTCAGCCGTGACGCTTCTAGAATACGTAGACATCATAGAGACATAGATGATGCATGCATGCAGCCGTCGTCACACGTCCAGAGGCGGGGTGGCTTTCTGACTTGCCAGGTGGCAATGGTGCCGCCAAGCCAACCTTCAACTCACTCTGGTAATCTGAGATACCTGAGACAGCAGATGCAGAAAGAATACGGGTGACGAAACCATCCTGTGGAGACACAGCCTACGAGACAGTGGTGCCACGACCTGCCCGAAGTTGGGAGGACAGGCTCCGGACAACTACGGCCTTGCCCACGCTCGTATGGGAATCACTAGTGAACCATTAGTGAATCAGCTGTTCCAAAGGACTAGAACCAAGCCCACAGAATTGCAGAGGACGAAGAAAGAAATTCAAAACAACTCCGACCAACGTCTCAGTACAGGTGCCGAAGGTAGAGTGCTTCCTCAGGGTTTGTGGTCGCGTCTGTTGCGACTCAGCAAGCTCCCGAGCCGGAGAATCCTGCAAACAGGATGTTCAAAATGTGCAAAGGAAAGGTACTGAAAGGAACTACAAGTCTGCATTCAGGGCTCCATCCTGGAATCCTCGCATCGCGCAAATCCCCAATGAAAGTCTCCGGCTTTTGCAAAAGGAGCGAGAGACCTGTAAGCACCCATGGTCAAGAAAAATGCCAATCCTCACCCCATGGCACCAGACACCCACCGTCGCCCTGATGATAGGGGTGTCAGCTCATTCAAATTTAACTCCTCTGACATCCTTCGACCTTCGTGTCGAGCCCTGCAGAATGGAAGTTGACCTGCAAACAGCACCTTCTGCAAACCAACATCATCAACACGAGCCTCAGCCCTTAAACGGAAGCTACCCCGGCTGCGTAAAGTCAAGGTCTCGTCCTCGAAGCGCGCCTCCGCGGCTACTGGCTTGGATGCCTGCTTGCGGCAAGCTGAAGCTTGCGGCTGAGATGCGCGACACCCAGGGTGACACTTAAGGCCCGACGAGGCGGCAGTGAGATTGCAAGGGTCTGACTCGACAGTCTTTCAGTGTTTTGCATCGTCCTAATATGTCCTTGCACCCTATGCTGGATGTCGACCGGCAACCCAGCGATTGAAATATTCAAGCTGATGTTTGCGCATCATCTTAGAAGGGCCATGGGGTCCAACCTGTGCTTACTGAAGCTTGAAACTCACCAAACTGACTGTGACTAAACCACGTTCACATAAGAGCCTACCGTTGCACCTCATCGCGAAGAGATGTCCGGGTCTCTGCACCCTGCCCATGCTGACAGCTTGGATTCAATCGTGTCTTCCTTCGTTTACTGCGGCTTGAAAGACTTCGGCTAGTCCTGGCCAACTACCGACTTGAGGCATGTAGCTACGATTCACCAAAGATCCTGGCTTCCTCATGCAGGTGGCCCCCGAAAACCCGAAGGAGCTGCCTGCTGCCTTTGGTTTAGGAAAGGACCTCGTGGGCACCCAAACATTTTAAGACATTGCCCGAAGGACAATTTGCAGGTTCGGAAGCTTCTGAAGGAATTACACCGTCGACTGCGCACGAAAAGTTCAACTTATTGCAAGCCCATGCGCTGCAAAGCCATTTTTGTTGCGACGAGTCGCGCCATGACGCCATGCGATCGGATCCGGTGTCCGTGCATCAGACTCAAGAACATTATGCATGACCAAACAACGGGTGTCTCAAATGAAACACCAAAAACCAGGCGACTGCCAGAGCCATGTAAGCTCAAACATTTATCTTGTGGCCCCTGCGCCACGCAAGCCATGAGGTTTCGAATTCAATCCATGATGCCCAAGCATGCTTGGCTCCGCAGAACTGGAAGTCGGCCATCGGCACATGTCTCGAGGGGTGAATTAACATGCAGTGCGAAGACCTGCTCGCGGTCTACCTTTACACCTGTACACGGGCATTGCGGTATTGCAATGTCGCAGGCTTGCAAGTCTCCAGCCCTTGAACAAAACAAAGTTGGGAAAGCTGCCTTCAGAAACCTTGAGCTTCGATGGCTGGAAGGATCATGCATGTAGCTTTTCCGATTTGCACCAGTCAAGCTTTTGGAAAAACGGTTCCCCCATCAGCGGCTGAATAGCTTCGTTACCTCAAGAGATGCATCAACGCGGAAAGCCTTTAGGCTCTCTGCACGGAGGCACCGGGCAGAAACTGGCTGCAGCGGGTCATCTAATACGTGGGCTGCGATCTTGTCCAACTTGGCTTCAATGTGCTTCAAGTCCGCATGCAAGGCCACTTGGTCAATCGCACGCGCAGGACCCTTGCATCTCAATATGCCGCTGATGAATTCGTCAAGAGTTACCTCCGGGCACTACGCAACTTGATGTTTGTTCTCGGTGACATCTCCTGAAGAGATGTGGCTTTCTGAGTCTTTGCACTCAACTTGACAAGCAAAGCCCCCGTGGATGTGGGTCGAAGATCAAAAGCTCCCCTGCTGCTTACTCAGAGTGCCTATACACTGCCATCTTCTGGCACATGCTGCAAGTAGAGGCTACAGATGACGGGTCAGTTGCGAGGCAAGAGCGCTTAAGAGAGACGGAGCTGACCAATGAACCATGTTGAACCTGAGTTTTTACGGCAGGCTTTAACGGTACTGGTAAAAAGACGAACTGATTTTGCTCCCAGCGGGCCTCTCCCTCTCCATTGGCCAAGAGGTGGAAGAGTGCCGTTCCTTCATGCAGGTCCAGGTCGATGGTCTGAAAGTATGCCTTGACCCTGGGATTCACCAGAATTTCGGACAAGCGCTCTTCGCCGATCATCCCAGTGCCAGTTACGTCTATAGCTCGGAAAACGCCTTCCAGCTGCTCGATGTAAGCAGCTCTTTTGTGCATCCTTTCAACCACAAGCTGTTCCGCATCACTCTGGGCTGCCTCAAGTGTGTCCTTGAGAAAAACCTTGGCCGTCGAACAATTAGCCATACCTGTGAGCAATGCGCTTGAACCCCAGCCGGACCAAACTCAAAACAGTGCTGATTGATGACTTAGAGACGGCACTTATAACTCTTATTACCTCAGCTGCCCAGTACCCTGGCCCAAAAAAGTTAAACTTTTCTTTTAGTAGGGTTTTTTAATATACCAAAATACCAAAAAAGTTTAAAGTTTACCTATTGGGCACCTAAGTTGCGGCGAAAACTATCAGCGTGACATAAAGCACGAAGAAGATCACAAAGGTCTGGCTGACCTTTTCGACCACGGGCCGTGCGTTGCTCGGCCAGGAGCCACTGAACGTGATCTGACAACAGGGGAAAGTTGTCGGCGCTCCAACAGGCCACGCACAACAGGGGGGGAGTTGTCGGCAGCACTGACATCAGGGCTCAATGCAAAATCAACGACACAGGCGGCCACTGTAGGTTGTTGGTCGCTTCGCGTGTTGGAGCAATGCAGCAGGGCACGAAGCAGCAATGACAGACTGGCTGCATGTGGCACACTTCAAAACCTTGCGAGACCTGCTGCTGACACTAGTCCTGGCCTCATACAGGGTGTACATGGCCCTCTGCGCTGTTCCATACCGGGTCCAAACCCACTGTCGGTCTTCCAGGTCCTGACAGGCAGGTGTCACGTATGAGCCGAATCATCTTTAACTTTAACGGCTGGAATCTGTCAAAGCACTGTGTGAAGATTTGATGTGACGTGTCCCTGGCTCCAAGCATGCCCTCTCCTGAAGTGGATCGCTGAGGAAGTCTTGCAGCAGGTGTCCCAGCATCAAAGCTCCCATGGACATCAAGACTCCAAGCAAAACCATGGACCAAAAAAGCGAGGGCAGGAAGCCTCGGTTGCTCGTTTAGTCTTTCAAGCTCGCTGACTCACTGGCTGGGTCGAACAAAATCTTGTTGCCATCTAAGGCTAAGGAGCACTGGCATGCCTTCACCAGCACACGCAAGCCACGGAAGAGACGGAAGCTCCGCATCATCCGAAAAGCCCTGAGCGCCTTAAGGCCCCGTGTGAGACGGACCACGGCGTTGTCGAGCCATGACTCGGCCTGCAGAAGGCTCAAGACCACGTCCACCAAACCCGCAAAGACCAGGACCGCATCCCACCAGTTCAAGTAGTCGTGCAAGAATTCCGACCTCTCCAAGTAGATCCTGAGCAATAGCTCCAGAGTGAAGAAGGCCACGAAAATGCCGTCGATCACGCGGAAGACAGGAAGGGCAGCGGTCAGGCTTTCACTGTTCTCAAGGCCGAGTGTTGTGCCAACCACTCTGCCTTCCACCTTGGTTCATCCAGAATTCACGAGAAGAATCTCTTAGTTCTTTTGATGCCTACCTAATTATTGCCCAGGTTGATGAAGGTGTCCATGGGCCAATAGGGTAATTTGATGAGTAATATGTAAAGGGGCCATGACTACGGCAAAAAAAGCTGTCTTCGGGCAAGCAGCCTCCAGCTCCACCATCAAAGTTATGGAGTTCAACAGCACCAGCACGCCTGAATCCGAACAAGTTGCAGCCCTTTCTTCAACCTCCTCACAAGCCCACTAGCCTGTGACGAGTTCGATGCCCGACTTGAAGGATGTCAATGGCGGGCAGATGCGATCCAAGTGGTGCTTCTCATCCAACAAGTTGCCGAACTCCTAACGCTGTCGTTGGTTCTGTTCCAGATGGAAAAAGCACATGCTCGCATCAAAACTGCCCGAAAATACAGCAGCCCTACAAAGCGTCTCCTGGCGTGAACACAGTGATTGCCTGCTCTGCTTTGAGATGCGGCCCTGCACATTCGAGACAGCTGCCTCGCTCTGCAGATCCTGCAATCAGAAGACGTGCTGACAGCAACTCACTCGTTGCCCGAAACGGCTACGGCTGGTTAGGCTCAGGAGCCCCTTCCTGAGTCTAATTTTGTCATGTCCAGCTTCGGCACCTGCTACTGCCACGAGCCGCGCAGCTCAAACAGTTAGCATTTGAAGCACTACTGCGTCATCATGAGTAGAGCCCGAACCACCTTCGCTTCAGATACACAGGACACCGGGTTATGTTCCCGCTGAGTTCTTGCCGGGTTTTGAAAAGCTGTAAGCATCATGTGCTGTTATAGTTGATGGCACGGCCCATGCCTTTTGCAACGCACAGGAAAATCTCGCCGAGTTCTGATAGGATTTGCACGTCATCGGTCTTCTCGGTGGTATACCATTTCGGGCTTCATATGTCACGCCCTAGAGGCTTCACCTGCAGGGTGCAATATGACCGCGGGACCAGGTCACGAAGGGCCGACAGACTGCGCAGTGGACCGGAGGCCCAGCGGCCCAACAACAAGGTAGGTGTCGTAGGGAAAGACACAGGCCTTCCGGCAAGCTTATGCTCTACAAAGACAGCCTTTGGGTCCACTGATGCGCTCATAATAAAGCTCCAGAGAAGTATAGGCATACACAGCCAACTGCAAAACACACAGACTGGACGACAGTCCTCCATCTCTGGCTAGCCAGAGAGATTCGAAACGGGCCGGTGCAGAGTGGGAGAGGGCGAGGGCAAAACTCTCTCCCTCCCTCTCTGTTTCTGTCCGTGATTGGGGCTCGCGGCCTGAGACTGAGGGGACTCGAGAGCATCAGGTGCAAAGTGCCAAGCTGCGACGCCTTGAGCAACTAGTCTGGAGCTGAACAGTTTAAAGTTAAAATCTGTGACACGAGTGTTGTGTTCCCACCGCGGCCGCATCCACCCTGATTCTGGGGGTTACAGCGGTCAAAAGCAGAATTCGACTGCCCAAAGTTTTGGATGCCTGGTTATTGATCTTGGCATGAGACATGTTACATCTCCTCGTCCACGAAGCTGAGATCACTCCAATCTGGAGCAGTTGATGCAAGGCTTCCGAGTACGTCCTGCCAGGACAGATTTACAACCAATGTGCACAACCAAGGTGCATCTGCACTCACTAGCAGTTCCGTAAATACTGTGTCAAAAATAACCCCTGCGTGAATGCAGCAAGTACGGGGACTTCAATGGCAGTCCATTCGAATCCCGTGGTACCTACACCTGATGCTGATTAGTTCATTGTGGTCGATGAAATCTCTCGAGGGAATTTCTGCTGTTCCGATGCACCAAGCCTTGCATAACAACAGCAGCCTCTCATCAGGTGCGCATGCGGCTCCATCCGAGGCCTTGTTTGGTCGACCTGTGAGAAACCGCCTCCCCTCGACACATTCAGCATAAAAGGAAGCCTTTTGTCTGTCTGTCTGTCTGTCTGTCTCTCTTCCTTCCTTCCTTCCTTCCTTCCTTCCTTCCTTCCTTCCTTCCTTCCTTCCTTCCTTCCGTGCAACGTATGTATCTCTCTCTTCGTCTTCAGGGCAGGGGGGATGTTAGATCCTCATGCCACGAGGCCCCACTTTATATGGCGCTCTCTCTCCTTCTGTCGGAATCTGGAGAATCTATAATAAGGTGGACCAGTACGCTAGCTAGAAATTAGCCTTTCGTCTGCACCCCGCCTCAGGCACGGGATCCTCATACTCCAGGGCCAAGGGCTCCCGTGTGCAGTGGATGTGGGAGATCGGCGGGGCTATCGGCTCCGTTTCAGACTTCGGCCCCGGGCACTCCTCAGAAAGAGATGGGTGGTCGAGGCTCCCATGCTTGACGTGAGTTTGTCATGTTTCAGGTGTTCAACACAGTTGCGGCCTCGCTGGCGGTGTCCTTGGGCTCCAAATTTTTTAATGCCTCGCCGGCAGCACGGACGGACATTCTCGAGGCTGCTTTGGCGACTGAATTTGTCGGGGACCCCTTTCTGAGGGGCCCCAACACCCAACAGGGCTGAAGTGAAGTCCCAAAGCCTAAGCTGAACAGCCCAACGGAGTTCGATTCGCAAGCTTGGCCGAAGCCTTTATCCTGGAAGTTTGCCAGCTGTTTGTATTCGTTCTGTTGAGGGCCGGCCAGGCACGATTCGAGAAAGCCATCAACGCCCGGGAGTGATTGGAACTGTGGTAATATAGTTTGAACGAATATCTCCTAAACTTGCGCAGAAGCCAAGCCAAACGAACCGTTCCGAGCATAGACATCACAGGATCCAAGGAAGACACGACGGTCTGGGCGCCGTCACTGCAAGCCCCCGGTTCTAGATCGGCAATCATGTTGTGCTCTGTGTCTGGCCAGGCCTCAGCCCAGGCTTTCTGCTGTGTCTCTGCCAACTCCCACAGCTGCCGCCTTTTGCACAAAGCCGGGAATTGAAATTTCACGCATCAATGACACACATGACAGTGTCGATGGGACTGGGGACAGGCATGTTCGCACATCAATCTTGCTACTGCTTTCTGTTGCTGCGTACTACCGCTACCACTGCCAGCAGATTCCAGGACTATTCAATTTTGTGACTAACGTGTGGTTTTGATATGGTCTCACTAACCATTGAGTTGATGATTTCGTTATGACTGTTTGAGGTTGGCGGTTTGCGATTATGCTATGGTTGTCTTATGGTTTGGGTTATGATTTGTTTATGTTTTTTGGGAGTACACAATTTTGACGTGATTCAGGGACAATCCTGATACGACTTTTGCATTTCCACACAGGTGATGGCCGTGTTTTCGATAGGGTGTTCGGGCTTGCAGCCGAGCTGCTTTCCGAGCCGTGCTTTCTTGCGTAGCGAAAACCATACATAACCATATCAAAAACCATAACAACACTTTACAAACCCATAAGATATCCAGATTCCAAGCCACAGCAAAACCGTCAACCCTGAACCATGGCAACACCCTAATCATGCAACATCATTGGCACATACCGCTACTTTGCCAGGACTGGTCTTCACAACCCTACCACTACCACTGCCACTCACTACCAGTGCTGCTACTACTACTACTACTCCTACTACTACTACTACTACTTCTACTTCTACTACTACTACTACTACTACTTCTATTTCCACTACTACTACTACTACTAAGGGTCT